AGAGATGAAACATTTTGTCTGACAATGGAAGGTCACGAACTGATGAGCAGCTAGATTGACCTTGTTCGAGTGAAATGATCACTCTCATCGACAAACTAACGCATTTAAAATATGAGCTGCTGACGGCGTACCTCGAAAGAGATATTCAATTTTTAAGTTATGCACAATCTGTTACAGAGTCAAAGGGCAGAGGTCAAAGGTCAAAGGTTAAAGATCAACGGTAAAAGATTAACGATAAAGACTAGCGGCTGATAAATATCTCAAGCGAAAACTATAAAACTGTTCGTTAGATTGTTGTATCAAGAGTTGTATAATTTGCGCTTGAGACATTTATCAGCCGCTGGTCTTTATCGTTAATCTTTGACCGTTGATTTTTAACCTTTGACCCGGTAACAGATTGTGCATAACTGAAAAATTGAATATCTCTTCCCAGGTATGCCATCAGCAGCTCATATTTTAAATGCGTTAGTTTGCCGATTAGAGTGATCATTTCACCCGAACAAAGTCAATCTAGCTGCTCATCAGCTCGCGACCTTCCATTGTAAGTAACGAACGTTGATGATATCCGACAGAAGCACATCGATAGGATCCAAGTATCGGTGGTCGACAATATCCTACGAAAACACAGTAACGGGATCTTTTTCTTGGAAACTGACAACATCCTACACTTTCTGGTAGGAATAGTTCAGGATACGGGTAGGTGAGGGCATGACTAGGTGAGAATGGAGGTGGATATGCCGGTGGGCGTAAGTTGGTGAGGGTGGGAATGGATGTGGCTGTAGGCATGAGTATAGTTTTAGGGTGTGGGTTCGTGGTGTGAGGTGCGGATGCTAGAGAAAAGGACTTTACAAAACACACACCCACATCTTTTCAATCAATTGCACAATTTATTTTGGTCAACCCGTAGTGACCAGCCTAGATTCTTTTTTCTCGCTATTAACAACACTGGGAAATTTCTTCGTATTGTGACGCATTCTCTTGAAGTCCATCTAAGAATTTTCCCGTTATCAGCTGTAAAAAAGAGAAAAAGCCCTCCAAAGGTAAATAATAGCATAGCTAGCAGAAAAGAAAAGAAATACCTCTTATCAGTTTTGAATAACGAACTTGTTTGACACTCTTTCACAATTCACATGAAAAAAGTTTCATTAAACTTTTCATATAAGATAAGGATTGCTTTATACTACAGACTGTTTTATTCGCTCGATGAGACCAAGCGTTTGGGACACAGACACTAAAAAGGCAGAATAACAAGTGATGTATATTTAAACAAATAAGTAAACACTACTCGATATACTTTAATAGCGTTTGTCTTTTCTTTTCAGAGTTTCTAGACAATCGTTGAGCAAGACTCTTTCAAGTTTGTACAGAAGTGATTATACGGACTCTCCTCAGAATTAGTTTACCACTTATAAGAAATTGTTTGGGCTGAAATTCTCAGGAATGATTGGTTCTCTTGAGAAATGCTTGTGGTAAAAATTTCAGTCTGATATACTCCACTTGATCGACCTTCCAGTTCGTTATTGTAGTTTCCAGGAGAATGGAAATAACTTTATCACTATAAGAGTTACAAGGCTTGACTTAGTTTCATATTAATACTAGCTTCTCTGCGCAACTTTTCACTGAATAGAAATCAGAAGCTCTCTTCCACTCGATTTTTATGAGCATTTTAGTGTACATGACGTTCAAAATAAGCATTAAACAAATGGCTACCTATTAGGTTATTAATGGTTTCGCACGTTATGTCCTGAACCTTGAATAATGTCAGAAGTTAGTTTGTGGTTTTGTGTATCTTGTATCAGACTTTCGCTAGTTTCATAAATTGCAGAAGTTTTTGTGATATGTCCCCAATAAGGTTTTGGGCATCGTTATGTAACCAAAGGTTTCGTTTTTTGTATGAGAATCATATTCTTAAGTTTCGGAACAAATTGAAAAGTCCCATTATGTAACTGAGCTTATTGCATTGATATTATTTATAGATCCTGAACAGATCAGCTTTAGTTCTGATCAATCGAAGTATTCGAGCAAATCCGTTCTAAGAATTGATCCACCATCTTTTGAACACTATATATGGATGCTCTCCATAACTTGACTACAGTTCTCCGTTCTGAGGAGTCTGCTAAATCTAAAGACACTTTCTTGAGGCGTACGAGCTTAAGATTTTCCTCAGTAAATATCTATTTCCAGGTAGGTTTACTCCATTATTGCAGAGACAAAACATGGTATTCTTCGGTGTATATCATAGAGAACCATTGGTAACTCCTAGACCGATCAAGACAACACTATATTTTGCATTGACGATTATCAGAAAATCACTTGCTGAGATCTGATTCATTAGACGCATCGGCTCTTCTTTCATATGCCCTCAAAAATGATATGTTTTCTTCATAAAATAACAGAAAAAGCATCCCAGTTAAATAGCAGTTTCTTCACGAAAACCTCAAGTACATACATCTCGACAAACTGTCTTACGATTCTGACTACACGAAGTCCAGAACTCTTACAAAGTTAAAGCGATGATCCCAAGATAATCTTCAAAAAATGAAAAGGTTCAACTTTAGCTCATCTTCAAGGCGGTATAAGAACTTTCCTCAAATAGCTCGAAAGAGTTATAAGAATCAACGTAATTAGTTCCGAATAGTTAGATGGACTACTCTCAGATAGACCCAAAACGTGATAAGGACGATCTCCTTATAGTCACGAAAGAGTTATATCGACTAAACTATGATAATACCAAAAAAGTGAATAATGGTTCTTCCAGATAGCTCTTAAAAAGATAATAAGAGTACCGTCAGATAGCTCTTAACAAGTTACAAATAGCACCTTCAGATAAGTCTCGAAACGTTTCTAGTAATGCCCAGATGAGCGTCTTAAAAGATTATAGATATCACTTTTCAAAATATGTGAAAAAGTTACTGAACCTTTATGTGCACTACTCACTCATCGTTTTGTTTTGCTGGCGACGCTGTATATATATACCCCTGACTTCATGCAAAATAATCGTCATTTAGATGTTTATGTAAATGTGTTATTATATTGTAGAAAATATTCTCGACATCTGAATACATATGTATAAGTAAGGACGTTTGAGATAAATTGATAACCTAATAATTAATTAATTAATTGGATATAAATACGGGTTCGGTGGTGACACTGGCAAAGACAAACTTTCCCGATCCTGACAAATTAATAGCTAAGTTCCCTGTGTACAACAAATGAATTTGTTTTCTTTTATAGGTTAATCTTTAAAAGAGTTTTGAGTGAAATTTATTATCTAATACATATTAACTTGTGTCAAATTCAAATCGACCCTAGGATCAAAATCATAAGTAAGTTTCACTAGATGAGAGGTAAAATAGATTTGAAACAATAAACTTAACGGAATTTCTCGTTTCATTTTAGATTGACGTCCAATATTTTATCAAAAGTAAGATAAACTTTACAATACAAACTAAACTGAAATTGTTTCTTCATTTTAGATTAATTCGAAGATCAGATGCGTGGTAAAATGAATTTGGAAACATTAACTAATTTGAAATGCTTTCTTTTAGTTTAGATTGACTTCCAGATCGGATCTAAAGTAAGATGAATTTGAGAAAATAAACGAAAATACTATTTTTGTTCTAGTTCAGCTCTAAGATGTAACAAGAGTAAGTTCTTTTTGAGAACAAAATGCTAAGGATGAGAAAAATAGCAGTGACACACTCGTCCACCGAGTCACAACGAGTTACTTGTCATTCGGATGTGATATGATGTCATCTATGCTCGAGGAAATTCGGTTTCTTGAGTATAGATGATAGTATTTAACACCTGAACGGCACAAGTGAGTCGAGGTGACTTCGATGGGCGAGTGTGTTTCTGCTATTTTTCTCATTCCGTGTCGTATCAGTAGGCGTTAGTAAACATTTAGCTGAAAGGCAAATATACGGAACCTTAATTGCGGAACTTTTCCTTCAGTTTGAAAAAAAGTTTTTGTATACAAATTTTATTACGAAACCTTTTTTAACATTTTTCAAAAATGACTGGGTACAAAACGACCTCCTTTACGATACCAAAAATAGGTCTCCCCGTGTACCGGCAGAATGAAACTAGTTTGGTTCGGTAAAAATCCTTTTTCTTTTAAAGTGCATGAGGGAAAGCTATGTACCAATGAATCTACTATGGATAGCTGCTTGCAGAACCCATGTAACCACGTTTTTAACAAATGCCTCGTACACTCTAAAAAGAACATCCTCCGAAACCTTGTTTCTGTCGATTTTCGAGATTACCTTCTTTTAGAGTGCAGTTACGCGTTGAGCCAATTTCGTGTAACTGCAATAAAATAGTCGAAGTTGTGTATAGTTAAGGTAAAGAATTCGCAGCTACCCCTAGCTGTGGCGCAGTTTTTCGTAATTACGGGTCACAATGCGATCGCAGCTCGATCGTAATCGAGCATATAAGAATTGCTCTATCAAAATGATGACAAACACGTCTCGATATATTGAACTGGTGAAAAGTTATTCAAAGATATTGGTTGACATTTTTGAAAAACTTCTAGAATGGATGCATATTAGCAGCAAATTAGTAGAGAACTTATTGAAATAACTATTGTATGAACCAGAGATGGACAAAGTCGCACCGCGCCTCCCCGCGCTTCCCCGCGCCGTTGCTCACGCCTACGCTACACTAGTCTGAGCTTCGATGAGCGCATGCTTGGAGCATCTCGGTATTCGGTGGAGTTTGAGAAACTGATTGGTAGAGCAAAGAGAAAGAGAGATGTGCGTAGCGCCTAGGCGCGAGTAGTGGCGTGGGGAGGCGCGGTGCGATTTTGTCCATCTCTGGTATGAACCGTAAGTAGTGTTCATCGTTCACTCTTCAAAAAATGAAGTGTAATGATATCTATCGATAGCTGTTGTGTTACAAATTTCTTTGGTTAAGTAATGTGCTAAACTAAACATGATTTTTTCACGATTTTAGATTTTACATTTATTGATCGATCATTAAATGCAAATAAAAACTTTCAAATGGCAGAATCGTCTAACTTATTAATAAACGACTCTTCTTCAATAAGAAATTTTAATCATGTCGTTTATGAAGATGTGTTAAAATTAGCTAAGAATGAAATAATACGCGTTCTGAAGTTGGAAGATGATGAAGAACAGGATGAAATTATCAATGATTTGTTAAAGAATGGTCGACAATCACTGTCTAAGTATAAAAAAGACCTTATACCAGAAATCTATGACGCAGCCATAGATGGAAATGATTGCGAATTGATGAAATATCTGAAAAATTATTTTGAACAACAATGGAAAGTCGAATATGGTTCTTCAAATGAATGGTTTACTTCATTTTTAAATGAATATTCTAATGATGTCAATTATGATTCATATCAATGTGTTTTGAATCGTACAGCTGAATATGGGAATAAATACTTGAATGATTGTCCAATTTTATCAATTGTTTTACAACTTCTATTTAAAGACATCAATAATGAACGTTTCAATAAAACAAATGTATTCAATGATATATGGTTTACAATAACAAATAATGGTCTAAAGTCTATAGAAAAATATTCTGAATATATCAATGAACATGTAATGTTTGAGTTAATACATAAAAAACAGTTGGTGTTATTTCAAGCTTTACGTGAATATTATCATCCAGAATTATTTAAATTACTGGAAGAAAGTAAAATCAGAAATCAAGACAATTTGTATGAGTTAGCGCTAAATAATGTTGCTGAATACGGTTGGTTGAAAGGTTTACAGGCAGTTGAGAGGAAAATAAAACCGAAAAGTTTTACCAAATTATTAGAGAAAATTCCTTCTTCTAAAAAACAACAACCCTTAATATCAAACCAAGCAACCTCAATATTTAGTGAAATGCTCGCAAATCAAGGTATACTCGATCTTATGGAATAACCTGTTCGTTTTTCTCTTGAATAGCAAAGACTGTCACTATAGAAATGCTCTCCTAAATAATGTTCATAGTATAGTTTTCATATATAAACTATTTTCGTGTTACGTAGCTCCAATGCATAGTATATAATATATCATGATTTTTTGGATATGTGATATTGCCAGGAATTCGAAGAAAAATTTATTTTCACCTTTACTTCTTAAAACGCATGAATATGTCAATGAGCGCATTCTAATCACAAATATCATAGTTGCAACGCATAAAACTAAATTTTCTATGCAGTAATACCAGTGCTATGAGGTCGCCCGTAACGGTTCTCTTGAATTTTTTTAATTTTTATCAGACCATAAAAAGGATAAACATTATCAAAAAATACTTGCTCTGACTCCAAAGTCCGTGTTCTATCAATATATGAGCTCGAAAAATTAGCTGAAGTCAATGGTACAAACAACCTCCCTATTTTAGGCCAACTGCAAACAATGCTCATTATTTTTTCTTCTCAAGTCGCTGCTGATAGAGCGCGAAATTTCGACGAAAAAGTAACCCTTTGAGTTCTGCTGGGTGACGTTTTCATAAGAGATGAAAAAGTTGCGCAAAAGAATTATTTAGAAGATTTCTAGAAATAATCGGAAAAATCATAAAGCTTTCGAAAAAAATTGACAGGCCCATCGTCTTTAGGATGAAAAAGCTGTATATCCATAGTTTTAGAAATTCTGGATCATCTGTTAAAGATGCAGAGAGGAGCTTTGCTTACTAGATGTAGAGAGATTTTGAATTATCGGAGAGATCTTGTAACGCGTAAGTCGGACCACATTTTGGAACAGAACTTTCGATACATAAACAAGGTCCCAAAAGTTTCCGCCCCACTCGTTAAATTCACAATATCTATGAGAAAGTTACACATAGCTTATTCATCGAAATACATAGTTTTGTAGAGAAAGATTAGAGCTATCATCTGGAAGAAAGATACTTCAAAATTCATACATGTAGTCGAACATTATAGTAATTTTGCTGAGCTTCAGTGAAGATTAGACCTACGACAGCTTCACTTCATGAACTGAATTCAAAAGAGCATATGAACTGTTCGAACAGTTCCGTTCAGCTTCATCAAACTGTTCGAACAGCTCTTCCGATCTGAGCTGAGCTGTTGGAACAGTCCAGCTCCGCTCGGTAGAACTGCTGCGGCAGTTCAGTTCAGTTCAGGGAGTTAAGAAAGCCAGGCAGTGTAGAGGCACCCATAAGTCCCCATCGGTTATCCTATAGTGGTACTCACAACTCTTCAAAAAGTATCACATGAGACTATCGATAAGTTCGCACAGGCTGTCATATAGAGGTACCCACAACTCTTCAAGGCCTGTCCTATGGGGATACCCATAAGACCTCATGGGCAATCCCATAGAGTATTCACGATTCTTCAAGGCCTATCCAATGGGGATAGCATAAGTTCTCATGGGGTATCATATACGGATACCCATAAGTGCTCATGGGCTATCCTATAAGGGTACCCATAAGACCTCATGGGCTATCCTATAGGGGTACTCATAACTCTTCACGAGCTATCGTATGGGAGTAACCATATGCCTTCATAGACTGGCCTATATGTAAAATTAGCATCTCTACTCTGTTTCATATGATAGAAACTTTCCCCAAACGATAAAACAAGTTGGAATTCTGCGGAAGGAATATGTGTAAACCGCTCACTGCACGAAACAAAATTAAGAATGCCGGAAAACCGGGAAGAAACGTAATCAATATGTTAATTAATATTGAGCATTGGAAAATTTCATTCATCTATTGTTGCCGATGTTAAGTGTAAGTAAAATGCACAAAAACGTTACCGCGAGTTTTGAGAGTTTTCACATATATCCCGAACGAGTGAAACTCGGTGGCCGCTATTAATGCACTATTGGATATTTCATGCGGTCATGCTGTGTAAACGACTCATTAAGACCATTGAGACGACCATTCCGATTGAAAGCAGAGTACCTTTCATTAAAATCACACATATTCGTTGACCACACAAATCTTTATAGCAAACTGCCTCCAAACTTATAGAGCTTTTAAGCCCGCGCACAAGGCGAAAGGCATCTAACCCAATGCAAATCACATCTGGCGAAAAAATGAGCACTTTCATGAGCATGACTATGACTCACTGTGCCCAGCTTGCAGGCTGTTGAAAAACATTTTAAAGGATCGCGCCTAGCGGGAATAGATTAAGAAAAGCTGGGCTTACTACGAAAGCAAGCTATTCTTTCATGAATATACAGGGTTGTGCATAACCTTTTGCTAGGGGTGTAGCACTATGATATCAAGTTGAATACCTAATGAATTTTATATCAAATTAAAGCGCGTCGAAAACTGGATTCATTCGTACTAAATGTTAAGACTTATCAAAACCTTTTAATGTCGAACTTACAAAATTTTCAGAAATCTTATGTCCTCTTAGGCATAGAAACTTAAGGCGCCAGCAATTCAAATATAGAGTAAAATATTTTCTTCTGATATTTTTACATAACTCGATAGAGTTCGTTGAGCTCTACAAAACTGTCTATATTAAAAGTATTTTAAATAATTTTTGCTCCGATAAGAATTTTACAAATTAGTCGCAAAATTCGAAAAAATGTTTAAAAACTCGTTTTTTTGCTATTGAAGAGTAACACTCAATTTTCTCAACAAAATTAGCTTTTTCTATTATTTTTACTAAAAAAGACACTTCGAAATACACTCATTCGCTGCAACATGAAAAATTGCGTCTAACGAGTTTACTCAGAAGTGTTGTGGCTGGTAAAAATAATGGAAAAAGCTAATTTTATTGAGAAAATTGAGTGTTACTCTTCCGTAGAAAAAAAACGAGTTTTTAAACATTTTTTAAGATTTTGCAATTAATGTTTCAAAATTTTTTATGAGTGAAAAATGGCTTGAAAAACTTTTAATATAGACAGTTTTGTAGAGCTCAACGAACTCTATCGAGTCATGTAAAAATATCAGAAGAAAATATTTTACTCTATATTTGAATTGCTGGCGCCTTAAGTTTCTATGCCTAAGAGGACATAAGATTTCTGAAAATTTTGTAAGTTCGACATTAAAAGGTTTTGATAAGTCTTAACATTTAGTACAAATGAATCCAGTTTTCGACGCGCTTTAATTTGATATAAAATTCATTAAGTGTCCAACTTGATATCATAGTGCTACATCCCTAGCAAAAGGTTATGCACCACCCTGTATATCAGGGATGCCAGATCTTCTGGATTTCCCGGAAAAATTTCGGCTTTTAGGGCCTTTTCCGGATTATTTTCCGTTTTTGAAAAAAAAAATTCCGGATTTTCGAGCTTGACATCCGGCAACTAATATATAACACTACCTCAAAGGGAACTCCACTCCAACAGACTGACCAATGATCATATTGCTCTTTCGGCCTACACCCAGAAAACGATTATGCGCACCCCCGTAACCCCATTAAATAACAGGGATATCCAGACTACGATCGACAACAATTACGGAAACATACAACTTCCAATGACTGATATATAGGAAGCATAGAAGACCCACAGCAAACTAACCAAGACCCAAAAATTCTTCCCACTTGAAAATCATACGCGCCACGCCCAGAAGCCAGCCTAATAGCTCCAGGCTATGCATTTTCAAAACCCTTCAGGAGTTGTGGGTAGTCCGCAGAAGAGCCTAAGACATCTTATGAGTACTTCCATAGGATAGCGCATGAGGACTTATCGGTACTACCATAGGATAGGCCTTCAAGAGTTGTGAGTACCTCTAGAGGATAACCCGTGGGAACTTATGGGTTCTCCCATAAGTTAGGCCTTGAAGAGTTGTGAGTACCCCCATAGGAGAGCGCATGAGGACTTATTAGTACTACCATAGGATAGCCCACGAGGACTGATGGCTACCCCACAGAGTGAGGCCTTTTCAGTTCTCTGAGGTGACCTGAACTGTTCGAACAGTTCAGTTCAGCTCAGCTCTGTTTTTTGAAGAACTCATCAGTTCGGAACTTTTTCCGAACTGTTGTATTCCTAGTGAAGTTACCATCCTACATATTTTTTAAGAAAAATTTAAAAATTTTTTTTTTCCAAAAAGCTGTATGACATTTGCCGGCAAATATTTTATAGCAGCGTTGTCATCTTAATTCAATAATATTCATTACATTTGCTGATTATGATTGTACTTTGTAATGCTATTAACATTGTTAAAGAGTTTCATATGTATTGTCTTAATTTATGAAGTTTACTGTCTCCAATTTATTCTCTAATATATTGGTTTCTTCAATCTATCTTTTTGACAGTTTTCACAGCTTAGAAAAAAAAACAGCACTCATTTCAAGTCAAATAGATGACGTATTAGTGATAGAAATATTCTAATGTATCATTCGACAATATTTAGGTGTTTATGAATTCAATTCATCACTTGATGTCGAAAAAATGGTTGATACATGGAAAAATTTCATTCCCGAAAAATGGAAACAAATGATTAGTAGCATTCGAAAAAGAGTTAAAAGTAGTCGGCGAAAAATAAGGTCAACCAGCACCAAATTGAATTATTGAGATTTATGCAAAACTTTAGTCTGATAAACTTGTAAATCATTTAGATCATTGATTGAATTTTTTTTCTTGAAAAACATGTAAGATGACAATATTCACCAAACACCCGCCAATAACCACAACATTCAACTAGATCTATGCGTTTCGAAATATGTTTTTTCAGATGCTAGCTCTAATTTTCCTCTACAAAAGTATTTATTTCAATCAATTAGCTATGTGTAGGTTTGTCATAGACATGCTCGATTTACCGAGAAGAGTCGAAACTTTCTGAGCATCCTTCAGTTTTTTCCTCATCCTAAACACGACAGCGCTGTGATATAGGAAGAGTTTCTTTTTTTCATATTTTACCTATTCAAAGAAGGTCTAACATATGAATATCACTGGTTATTGTTCTCTGTAATCATCAAACCTGATAAAGTACACGATTTTCCTAACCAAAGCGTGCATGGTTACTAAATCATGACAAAACTCTTTACATGTGACTGTGAGTTCGTTTATCTATCAATACGACCACACATTCAGCAAAACACAATTGTTTTATTTTGCGTGTTTTACTCTTTTTTTTGTCTTTTACTAAAACGATACAATTGTTTAGAGGAAGCACTGTCAAAAACATCTTCAACTAATTTAATGGTAACCAATACAGAAATGAAACAAGTATCGATTGAAGATCGTATGCAAGAAGTAAATACAGCAGTACTCAGCGATAATAATACCGACCCGAAAACAACATCGAAGAGTCAACCAGAACCAACAACCATCGTAGACATTAAAGATGGAATTGGGGGTAATATATTACAAAGCTCTCCCCAATTGATACAGAAAACCCTCAATGATATCAAAAACAAGTTTGATTTACAAAGTAGATATGTTTACCAGATAGAACAAGAACTAGCAGAGCTTGAACAACTAAAGTGTGACTACGACAATATCAATCCAGCAGTTTTGTATTTGCGAGACAAGAATTATTCAGATATAAATGTTCTGAATAGGAAGATTGAAGATCTCGAAGTTGAGAGAAAAAGACAACTTGAAGCAGCCAAGACGGAGAAAGATACGATAGAATCTCGATTGAAGAGCTTGGAATTAATTTTTACAGAACATAAGGAAAAGTGTTCTCAAACGAACGATTCAGATGAACGTAGAAAATTGCAGAACGATTATTTAAAAGAAGTTGGATATTCGAATATTGCTGCTGTAATCGAAGCTATTACAAAAGCCACGGCAGACAAAGAAAAAATCTTAAAGTGCATTGAGAATAATAATAAAGAGCTAAGTGATTTAATACGTAGTCTTGAATTGATAAGAGCAGAATATAACTCATTATTAGATTCACCTGCATCTAACTCTACCGCAATGAATGATCTTCTACGAGATAAAGGATTTAATAGCCCTACACTCCTTCATCAGAAGATTCAGGAGAAGAAGAGCATCATCGAGGAATGTAAGAAGAATGAGGAAAAATACTATTTTAGCGATAGATTAGACGTATCTGCAGCAAACGATGCGTTTGAATATATCAGTGAATCCGAAAAATTAGATGATGATAATGTTAAAAAGATTGCAGCTGATACCAGAGAGACATTGGAACAGTATATACGCGAATATGGTAATGTGCTCGATCAAAAAATTAAAAAAAAGTATGAGGATATCATTCATATCGGTTGCGTAGAAAATCCTACTCAATATTCTCACGATTTAGACAAGTGGCTATGTGAATTAGATTCACTTAGTAAATCTGAACGTGTTTTGAAATGTATCAATGGAGCCGAAAAGGTAGAAAGTTGGAATGATACATTTCTTCGTTATTATCGTAGTTTGAGTCGTGAAATGGAAAAATACCAAGCTAATAGCGACAAGAAAGAATTGAGAATACGATTACACATTGCGGAGGCATTGAGCTGCGTAGATATATTCTGTTCAACTAAAATTTCAGGTCAAGGATTTGAAAACTTATATAGACAGTTTATGCTAAGAGCTGATGAACAATGGGAAGCAGATTATAAGACTATAATAGACCACATAAATAAAGAGGCCTATCGAAAAGCAACTATGGTGCTTTCTAATAATTGTCCCTGTTTTTTAAAAATCAGATATTCTATCGAAATTAAACATCACCTAGAGGATTCTTTAAAAAAACTGATGCATAATACCAAAAGTAAGGCAAAGGAGCTAGAAGAAACTATCGAAACAGAACATAATCAGAACGAACTAAGAGAAATCATAGAGAACATCAAGAAAATTTTTGGTGCTTCAGAAGAAAACGAGTTCAAGGACTTACTTGACGACATCATGAAACGTGATATCGAAAGGTTTCGAAATGATATCATTCACATTTTATCTGATAGTATTAAAGCTATTGAAGCTTTTCTCAATACCGATCGTTTTTTAGAAGCTGAACAAAGCATGACAAATCTTCTCAGTGTGCAGTTGGAATTAAAAGATATTTGTAGATATGAATCAGTTTTTGAAAAATATAAAAAATTAGAAGAGAGATTGATAAAAATCGATAGTGAGATTTTAAAACGCGACTTTCAAGATGTTAACAATTACCAAATGCATTCGCCAAAACAATTTTTAGAGAATTTATGTTTAGTTCAAAAAAAATTCCCAGACAAATATGAAATAGTTTACAAAAATATGTCAAAGAAAATACGTGAACATTTTGAGAATGCTATAAAAAATATTAGTAGTATCTCTTGGAATGAACGTTATGAGAAAATAAGTTCACTTGAAATTGCACTAAGGTATATACCAGAAGAATGGAAAGATGACTTCAGCTTACAAATCAGTAAATACAGAGAGTCGATCAGTAATGAAGAGAGTGCAAGTAGAGCTGAGTTGATGAGTTGTCTGGCAAGTCAGAGTGAAGACGAGCATACTATCGTAAGACTAGGCACTCTTGCTAAGCAATATAATCAGCAAAAGATGGATGAACTTTTGAAAGAATTATGTAAAAGAGTTCTAAAAAAGTTGAGAGACTATCAGACAAAAGTAAAGTTTTTTTTAGATGAGCAAAATATGCAGTCCGCTGTAGATATCGTGCAGAAAATCTTCAAATATGAAGAAACTCTGAGTTCGTATATTGAAGGAGTTTCAGAAATTTATAAAGATGTCTTTCATTTAACAATGGAAAGTTTTTATAAGTGCTGTAACACTATTGCTAACATCGCTACATTTGAAAAAGTCAACATTGTTGATACAGCTTTTGATAACATGGTTGTTTTTGTCAAATTTTGTACGACTCTTGATAAAACAACCAAAGAATTGCTATTTCACGCACTTTTGCTAAAACTAATGGAGACATTTAAAAAAGTTTACGAGTATTTTAGTAGAAACTCTGAAAATTACAAAGCTGCCATTCTTGAGATACATATAGCTGAATTAAAAAGCGTTATGATGATATCTCAACGATGGAATCGATTTTCGCAGAAGTTGAAAAAATTTTGTGAAAACAATAATTCCAAACTAGTAAAAACATTTTCGGATGCTCTAGCAACGATTGTACTGTACGAAGATATGTGTGCTGAGCTGGAGAATAAGGTAAACTATTTAAAGAGTCAATTAAATGTCGAACTCATTAGTGAAGAGACAACACTGTTTGTAGAAAAGCGTGACGCTTTCTTCCGTAATCTCATGGAGTTGATTAATAAGTTAAGAGCGATCAGCGCCGGATTAAAATGTTTTTTACCATCTACATTCGATCTAAGACAATTAGAAGAGCAGATTAAAAGAAAAATTCAAGTGCTTGGTGAAGAACTTCTTAAATCAGCATCAAAAGGAGAACTAACTTCGGTTGAATGTGATAAATTTCGTGTAAATTACAACCATCTTTCATCGTTTGTAGCTTATGTAGATCTAAGAGAAATCGATGTTAAAACATCATTTTTAGACAAATCAGAGGAAAAGGTTCTCGAAAACGTAACATTCCTGGGTAAACAAATAGAAGGTTCACTTTCGAATGTTGAAGAAGTCGCGAAATTGCTATGTCAAATGAAATTTTTAGCTGAAAATCTATCGATGTTCGATACTGAAATCAATGCACAAATAGATAAAGAGTTGAAATTTTTTAAGACGAAACAGGGTATACAGGGTATCGATCGATTAACCATGCTTTTAGAGAAAACAGATATAGGTTCTCAATTGATTCATGAACATACCTGCTTCATTGGAGAAAATTGGCGAAAAAGACGTGAAAAAATGCAAAAACAAGATGATTTGAACTATGTTATAGAAAATTTGAGAGGAGATGATGTTGAAGAAGAGGATGTAAAAACTATTTTGAAAGAAAAGTATCAAACTTTCCGGTCAAAGTATGAAGAACTAGTATCTAGATTTTTAACATCATTTAATTCGAAGATTGAGACTGAGCCGAATTTAGAACAATTGGTTACAGAAACAAAGGCTCTCGTTGGTGAAGTAGCTCAAACTTCCAAGTCTATTAACTGGGATGAATCTCTTCGACATAAAATTCCTGAATTGTTAGCACATATTTTTTCTGTTTGGACTTTGAAAAATACTCAGCATTATAATGAGTTGCGTGGCATCAACGCATCACGAGCTTATCTATTGATGCCACATGTTGCACAAGTCATTGCCATCTTCCGTATTCTCGGTATAGTGTACAAGAAGAATTTCGAACTCCTAGGATTTAGTACACCTAAAAAACTACTCGCCGACGATTTAATTAATAACTTGGTACAAATAGGAACAGGTGAAGGTAAATCAGTTGTTATGGCAGTTACTGCTTGTGTGTTTGCCCTCATTGGAATGGATGTTAGATGTTCTTGCTATAGTGAATATCTAAGTGTACGAGATCAAAATGATTTTGCTCCAGTTTTTCGTGTACTCGGAATAGAAAAACGAATCGAATATGGAACTTTTAACAAACTATGCGAAAATCTGTTAAATGAACAATGTAATGTACGAGAAAAAGTACGTGATATGATCATGAAAAATCAAAATGCTATAGATGTAGGTGTAGCAATGGCTCGCGTTCGTCCAAAAGTGTTATTGATCGATGAAGTAGATGTTTTTCTAAGTGAAAAATTCTATGGTGGAATCTATACACCGTCACTATATTTAAAAGACCTCTCAATAAAGATGTTATTAGACACATTATGGCAAAATAGAGATGTACGCACACCGAATGCTGTCAGGGCTTTGCCAGCATACAAAAATTGTGCTGCACGATTCAGCAATTGGATTTTTCTTTTCGAGGAAGCCATTAAAGATATGTTAGTTGCTTTACGTTCGTTTCAGTCATCAACATATATTGTGAAAAATGATAAAATCGTCTATGTCGAAGGCGAATCCACTGCAGAAAACGTAGTTCGTGGTTATGATACTATTTGGGCATATTATTATGAGAATCAAATAGGTAATATTAGTCAAACCAGTCTAGCTGCGAATGTAGGCATCATTATTAACTGTGGAACATTCTCTTACGCTGAAATGCCGCATGAATTTATGTTTATAACCGGTGTTACAGGTACTTTAGAAACACTTGCTAAATCAGAAATAGATATATTGAAAAATGTGTATCATGTACACAAAAACACAATTATGCCATCAGTATTCGGAAAAAGCAATAGAAAGTATAATTCCGCGAACGATGTATACGCAGTTGGGATGTCAGAATATTTCATGAGAATTCGTGGAGAGATTGACGTTATGTGTAATGCTGGACGTGCCATTCTTGTATTTTTCGAATCGGAAGAAAAATTAATGGCATTTTACAACTCTTCTAACATGTCATCTATAAAAGAGTCTGTACAGATTATCACCGAAAAAGTTTCCTACAAAGAGAGAGAACTATGTATTAAACGAGCAGCAACTGATGGTAAAGTTACATTATTGACTAGAATATTTGGAAGAGGAACTGATTTCATATGTCGAAACCAACAAGTTTTAGCTAATGGAGGTATTCATGTGCTTCAAACCTTCTTTTCAGAAGAACTATCTGAAGAATATCAAATAATGGGAAGAGGAGCTCGACAAGGAGATTTAGGTTCGTATAGAATGATATTGTTGGATAGTGATTTAGAATGGGTACTTAGCGCTGATTGGGACAAGGAGATTCCCAAAATAACAGGCTCTATTCTGTATGAGTTTTTGGATAAGGCTCGCAACAAACGTTATGAAAGCAATTGTGCTGCAAGAGGAGTTGGTATTAAACAATGTAGGCATGACCACCAAGAGTCTATAAGATTCATGAATGCTTTGTCTAAGGGAGAAACGAGCATTGTTAAAAGCTTTTTGACTGAGCAGAATCGCGGAGCTGACATACCTTTAGGTGTCTCGCGCACAATTCTCCTTATGGATGCAACAGGCTCCATGTCAAATCTGTTGTCTGCTGCCAAAGATACTGTCTGTACGATGTTTAAACGTGCCTCTGATATTCTAAACGACGAAAAACTTTCTAGTGATGCATTTCAAATGCAATTCGTCGTCTATCGAGACTATGACTGTAAAGCAGATGGAGTTTTACAAAGTTCTTCTTGGGAAACGAATCCAACTAAATTGAGATCTTTCATGACAAATATTCGTGCTTATGGCGGTGGAGATTATGAAGAAGCAATTGAAATAGGACTGTGGCACGCAGTTCAGCAAAGTGCAGAACCAGACGGAATTGCACAGGTTATTTTAATTGGAGATGCACCAGCTAAAAGTAGTGCGGCAATAGACAGAGACAGAAAAGCTACCGGGGGTGAATCATATTGGAATAAAACAAATTTTAGGAATCCCACTCATTATACAAGCGAGTTGAGAAAATTAAAAGACAAGAATATTCCTGTTCATGCATTTTATCTCCATGATGGTGCAAAAGTGAATTTTGAACAAATTGCGCATGAGACGGGAGGAAATTGTAAATTTTTAGAAATTAATTCTCCTGAAGGTGCAGATTTACTGACTGATTTTGTTACTCAAGAAATACTAAGAAAAGCAGCTGGGAATCACGGAGATGCTGCAGTAGAAGTATATAAAGCGAAGTACGTAAAAACAACGTTTACATCCTAAAAACGATTGAGAAAGAAGTATCTCATTACCTCATTACTTGAATATTTGAAGTTTCTTTTTACTCTGAATGAACAATGACATTAA